TGATGATGATTTCTTAATTTATATTCAATATCATGTAATTTATCATTAAATACCGAATGTTTTTCATGACGTAATTTAAAATTAATTTGAAATTTTAACCAAGTAACTTTTGATAAAAGCAAATTATTCTTTCTATAATCTCGATTTTTCCAATCAATTTCATGTCTATGATAACATTTATTACATAATAATGTATCACAATGACAACAGAGATCAAGTTTTTGATACGATTTACAATCGTAACATTTCGCATTAATATTAATCGATTGATTATCATCTAATTTGTCTTTTCGAAATTGTTCAACAAGTGATAAAACAATTCGATTTATAGGTAAAATTTGTCCAATAAAACGTGATCGACAGAGTGGACATACAATAGATAAATGGTTATTAATTGTTGAACGAAGACATTTACAACAGAATGTATGTGAACATGGTAATAAACGTGGATCATCAAATAAATCCATACATATTGGACATGTCAAAGTTTCCTCAAATGATGGCATCTAAAACTCAAGAAAAAAAACTAATCATATACTAAATACAAGGGATGGATAATACAAAAAGTAAAAGGAAAAAATTCTTTTTTTTTTATTAAGTTAATGTCCTTCATAAAAACGTTCGAGAAAACCAGCTGGTTTTTTCTTATATGTATCTTTTCTACTATCTAAAGTTGCAGCATTATGTTGTTGTCGCCAAATTTCAGCTGTTTCAACGAAATCCATTTGACCACGAACAACAAGTAAATCAATAACACGTAAATCAGTTATATCTTTATTACGCATAAAATTCTCCTAGAAAATAGGAAAATAAATTCTACTAATAACATAAATAAATATATATATATATACTTTAATAACATCACGTAAACGTATTTCTGACCAATTATTTTTTATGTAATCAACACGAATATAGGGTATTTGTCGAAGCCAAATTTTATAAAGATTTAAAACACGTCTTTTAGCTTCAGCATGATCTGTTGAAAGAACAGGTCGAACTTGTTTTAATGTTTGAGGTATACGAGCTGCTAATGACATATTATAAATATATCTAAAATCATAATGGATATATAGTCGTTTTTTTTTGTATATCTTTTTTAAAAGAAAACAGCTAGATTGAAAACAATCACAGAAAAATATATAGATCAGAAAATAAATTCAAGCAAGATCTATTGCATTGTTATTGGTTGTGCATGTGCTGCTGTATGTTTACGAGCTGTTTCATAAAATTCTTCTGGATTTTTAAGAATTTGTTGAGCGATAGCAGGTACAACAGGACTTTCAGTGCTTGGATCAGCCAGTAACTCGATTATTTGAAGTAAAACTATTTTAAAAAGATCAATATTTTTTCTCAAAATAAAAACAAAATTTTATTTTACTTTGAACAATCGATAGATTTGGTGTCCATTTTTCACCAAGAAGATCGAGACCTAGAAGAAAAAATAATTAATAAAAATTTGAAGGATTGTAAATGAAGCCTTACAAATGCTTCCGTCATCTTTAATCGATGGATGATAAACTGGTGTTACAAATTTAACCTAAAATACGAAATGGAATTATTTCTCAGTGATATACAATCAACGGATTGATTACCTTGGGTGGTTTAAATGGAAAATCGGTAGGCATGTGAATATCAAGTGTAAAAATATGATCAGCATACGGTGAATTGTCCTAAGATTTAAAAGAAATGAATAATCTTATATATATTTGACTATGCATAAAAAAGTCTTCCTGCCAAAATTTATACATGTGACCTTACATACTGACATGTATTTTACTTACTGGTCCAACAATTTTCGCTTCCAAATGCAAGACTAAATATATTAAGAATGTAAAAACAAATAAAATATTCAAAAACTTACTGTCATTGCCTTTTGGCTCTAATTTATTAATTTGTGCTGAATTTTCTTTTGCCGCATTGAACTCCTACTCAAACAAAATAATTTTTGTTACATGAATTTTTTTTAGTCAATTACTTTTAATAATCGACGTTGTATTGTTGCCATTTCGATTGTTATTCTTTTAAATCAAATTGGACAAAAAAAAAGCAAGAACTAAATTAAATCAAGAATGAATACAAAAATAAAAATATATATTTTTTTGTAAGAACATAGTTTTGAAGAAAACTATTTATGATTGGTTGATTATACTATGGATATGGTGGATATGACATGGTATTTTATAAAATAAAGAGAGACATCTTTTGAGTCTTTTTATGAGTAACAATCTGTTTAATTTAAAGTGAATGTATGACAACTACATTTCATTTCATATTAGTTATGCATCAATTAATTGAAATATTCTACAAATGTATTGCATATTAAATCATTCAAGATTAATTTTAAGTTCATATGCGGATAATACTCATAATCAACAACTAAAAAAAAACAATAAGTGATCGATTCAATCAATTTTCTTATTGACATAAAAGTAATGATTATTCATTTTTATCTGAGAAAGAATAGTTTATGATAACATTTGAAACATATATTATCTACTAGAAAAAATACCAACAATATTTTATAATACTAGAGAATTAGTCGAAACTGTTTCATAATTATGATAAGAGTGTAAGCACAATTTATCAAATATTGAAGGTATTCACATTTTTTAATGCTTTAGCTACTGTAGATTAGGTCAGAATAACAAACAAATCAAATAGTTGAAATAATCGCATGTGTTTTAATTTCTAAGCAATTACCCATTAAACAACAACAACAAGTATCTATTTGATTCTATCGATAATAACGATTGAACTATTGTCAATAGTATTCTTTATCAACAATTTCGAATTCAACAAAAGCAACAGCTATTGTTTTCTTTTCAGGAATAGAAAATGATTCAAATTCTGCATGTGAAATTATATCGATACGTATAGAAAATCAGACTGCTGTTTAGTACATATCTTATCATATATGAAATAAATAGTTTATTCCGGTTATAAGTTTACCTTTAAATCCATAGCATATCGAGAGAAAGAGACAGATTTTATTTTCATATATACGCAAGGTTTTGATACACCTAATGAATTGAATAGATAGAAAATATTTTTTCAATCAAGCTTTACTCTCTATTTTAAAATTTATTTTTGTTTTACGTCAGCCAATCTTACTGAAATCTTCAGAGAAGATATATCCTGTGCTAAACATCTCATAGTATAAGTTTCAACTCGAGGGTGGGTGTGGGTGAGTATGACTCAGTGGCGGATCTAGTATTTTGGAAGGTAAGGGGCGATTTCGGCTAAAAACTATTTTTTGAGTCCAAATGAAGTAGTATGAACCTATTTTTTAGTTCATTTTTTCTGTAAAAAGTTCTGAAGGAAGGGGAGATCGCTCACCCCTAAATCCGCCACTGGTATGACTATAACATTGACCTGATCAAGCACACCGACACCTACATCCCTTAATAGTAAATTTTTACTCTATCTAATAATGTATAAATAACAAAATCATAAAATTTAATAAAACATGATGTTATAGAATGGAAGGAGGGAAAGTGTTAATAATCACTGACAGGAAACATCAGTCATTTCAATTGTTTTATTTGTAAATTATATTGACTCTATCGAATATCTTTTACTGAAAGCCAATGATTTTATTTTTCTTTTGAATCATGTTGGCTTCAATTTGCTAATACAAAAAGAAACATACCAAAATAGTAGTTAAAAAATCTATGAGAAACGGCTTGAAATTGAAATACAGAATGCGTCCATAAAGATATTCATACGACATCGGTTGAAGTCACGTATATGTTTAACAAGAGCCTTGACTTTTATGAATATACCTTGATTCTTAAGAAAACTTAAGCGTTGTAAATAATTGGATATATACAACGAAATCTTTCTACTATAATTAACTAAGAGCGAATACTTAAGCATGTCATATACATTATTGAAACCATATAGCATTTTAATTATCAAAGTCATATATTTAAAAGATTGTTTCAACCTTGTAATTACTTTTTAACAAAAAAAAAAATATGTTCATCTTTTACTTCTACACTACACTTATAAAGCTTTCAAAAATGAATACTAAAGAACATTGTTTGTATTTAGAAAAACATTATGTTAAATTTATAAATGTATACTTAACTTTGTTTTAGACTATAGAAATTATTATAGTATTTAAACAAAAAGCAACGAAATACAAACATACATATATATATATTTATTTATTTATAGTATAATTAAATTAATTGTTCAAGTTCATCAGCTGATCGACATAAATAGGATGCTGCTTCACGATAGGCATTCACAAGAACTTTAATGGAACTTGTTTCCGTACCAGATAACTTCGCTTGTTTCAGTGATTTAGTAATTGATGAATCACTTGTTCCTATATAAAAATAAAGTATTCAATTAAATAAAATAGAAGAAACGGGGAATATAAAAACCATTCGTATGTGTATGAGATGAAACAAGTGATGGAGGAAGTGGAGGTGGTGGTGGCGGTGCAAGAGGTGTTGTATTTGTTAATGATTGTAAGAAATTCGATGGAGAAAAATTTGGACGAAAAAGAGATGAGGTTGAATTGGCGGTATTTGAAGCTGTAGCAGCTGAAAAATATGCGGATAAATCAAGTGATGGACGAAATTGTTGAGAAAAAGCATGACGAAGAAAATCAGCATCAAATGCTGATAATGTCGATGTTGGTGATGGAACCAAATCAGACTATAAAAATAGATACTTAATATTTAATATTGTTTTTTATTCGCTAGACTTACTGTTTTTGATGATGAAATATTTGACGTTGAATTCGATCGATTTTTTTTGTTAGTATTTTCATTTGAATTAAAATGATCATTTGTTGTTGTATGATCCTATAGAAATTAATATTAATATAAAACGATATTCCATAAAATGTTCTACCTGATGTAAGAATGAACTAGTTGTATGTGAATGTACTGATGATTGATGAGATTTACGTAATTTTAATATATTCCGAATCATTCTTCGAATACGATCAAGTGATATGTCACGATATTCTCCAACACAAGCATTTTCAATTGCTTTGACTTGTTCATCATATGTTGAACCAATTGATTTTGATTCATTAATTAATGTTTGAATGAATGTCTATGTTAAAAATGATAATAAGTTAATTTTCTTCTTTATATTAACTTACTTTAAGACTTCTCATACGTTGTTGGGATTCACTTTCTTTTTTATTTTTACTGTTACTATTCGATTCAATTTGATTTGGTATATCATCTTGATTTGAGTGATGTGTAGATTTAACTGATGATGTTTCAGTTGAATTATGAGGTGATCGAGAACGATCTCTTGGCGAATGAGCAAGCATATCTGAAAAAAATCTAGATCATCACACACACTTAATAACAGTCTTAAAGACAAATCTTAACATGAAATAAAGAAGAAGCAAAAAAAAAGAAGAAGAATCTCGTTTTCATGTTCTTTTTCTCTTTCTTATTCTTTGTCTTCATCATCTATTCCTTTGAGTTGCTCTGTCATTATTTATGAAAATATGTAATGATGAGTGAATAAACCTAGTATGTTCTCTGCTTTTCTTTCTCTCATTTTTCTCGCTATTAATCTGTTGACGCTTTACCGCATGTTCAGGTTGACATGCTCGTCGACTTGTCTCACTAATAGGGCGATGCTTGAATCAATTTCAGAGAAAAAACTCTGAGTTATATACAAGAAAGAAAAACGGCACAGAACGGACGGAAGACTATCTTCCTGTCTTGTTCTCTCCCCCCTGCAAAAAAGTTTTGCTCTTTCTTTTTGACTAAAAGACATCTCGTCACTGTAATCAACAAGGGTGAAAGACCGTAAACGTCTTTATATGTTCGATGTCGGTAAACTATTAAAAACAGAAAGAGAATGTAGTATAGTGAGTATGCTTATTCTGCTCGCCTAACAAAGAAATTGATAATGAAGACGAACGACAAGGCATTTTACACTATTAATCATATATAACTTTTCCTTCTCTTCATCCCCCTCCCTAAAAAAAATCGGTGTGTTCATTCTTTCCGACGAACACGACAATTCTTTTTCTCGTCGCCCAAAAAAATAAAATGACGACGGAGAAGATCATGTTTTCTATTCTTAAACGGAATAATATAAGATGAATGAACACACGCACACACATACACAAACTATATAGCTTACATTCTATATCGTACCAACAATTTACTTTACCTTGACAGTTTGACGGAAGTAAAATACTGATGTTATAATAAAAATAAAAGAAAAAATCTTAGTTCTTAGTAAATAGATAATATTTTTAACTAAATGTTATCGAAGATGATATTGAATAGATAATTATCAGTGACTTGATTATCTTTTGAATAAACTTTAACTAAGAATTTTTGGGATCATCCTTTTATTATTATTTATGGTTAAATGTATTCATCGAACTAGATATTAGGTTTGAAATCTAGCATTGTATTGAAGTAATTTCATATCATGTCATTTGGCGAGTAAAATGAACTGTTTTAACTTATTTTACTCTCTAAGTAAATTTTAACTAAATTAGTTAATGATATTACAAAGAATTTCTATTAATAAGAGGCCATGGTTATTGTTGAACAATATAAATAATCAATTAAACATATCACTTTGATATATCTATTCAAAACAAAAAATGATCTCATAAATATTCTAATAGAGATACATCATTGATAGTAACTATAATTATTCTATGAGTTGTTGCTATATAGTTGTAATTATCGAATGATTGTTATTATTACATTTCTGTATAATATGTAGATTTTGTAAGAAAAACAAATAATAACAAATTCTGTTTATTTCATATAGATAAAGTTTTAATTCTAGTCTTTGTCTCTCTCTCTATATATATATATATATATGTATATGATGTCAATGGATGTTATATTCTATTTTTAGA